AAATAAATTCAAATCTCCAGGGCCCGATCAGCTGCACCCAAGGGTACTTTAGGAGCTTGCAGGTGTAATCTCAGCACCTCTGTCTATAATCTTTGAGGATTCTTGGAGAACAGGTGAGGTCCCTGCACACTGGAGGTGGGCAAATGTTGTCCCCGTCTTCAAAAAAAGGGCAGGTTGGTGATGGGGAAAACCCTGTACAGTGGTGCCTCGCAAGACGAAATTAATCCGTTCCGCGAGTGTCTTCGTCTAGCGGTTTTTTCGTCTTGCGAAGCAACCCTATTAGCGGATTAGCGCTATTAGCGGTTTAGCGGCTATTAAAGGCTTAGCGGCTTAGCGGCTTAGCTGCTAAAAGGCTATTAGCGGCTTAGAAAGGGGGGGAAGCGAAAAAAAATCTCAAGACTCACAAGACATTTTCGTCTTGCAAAGCAAGCCCATAGGGAAATTCGTCCTGCGAAGCAACTCAAAAACGGAAAACCCTTTCGTCTAGCGGGTTTTCCATCTTGCGAGGCATTCGTCTTGCGGGGCACCACTGTATGTTCATTTATTTTAAAGTATTTACAGACTGCGGAAGCAGAAAACGCCTAAGTACCGTGCGTAATAAAATTATTGCTAAAGCAGTTAGAATCCACAAAACCTTTTTATTAAAAAAAAATAAGCATCCATCAATTGAATAAACTCTGCTTATACTCTGTTCACTTTATATTCTAAGTATACAAGTATTTTGCAGGCACAAAAGTGTTGCATCCAAACCAAAGGAAGCCCTTAGGCAAAGCTTCCAATTGTGTCGTCCTTTTTAAGACTCTGAATCCTTGTTTCTTATTCCCACTGTCTCACCAACATCCCTGCCCCTGAAGAAAAAGACACATTGAAACATTTTGGCCATATTACATTGCTAAATCAATTATCTGAGAATCATTCCAAGGCTTCTTCTTTTGATTTTTAGTGTTGCTTGATCCTTCCTTCCTTCCTTCCTTCCTTCCTTCCTTCCTTCCTTCCTTCCTTCCTTTCTTTCTTTCTTTCTTTCTTTCTTTCTTTCTTTCTTTCTTGTTTTCTGCGTGTACATTCTGATCCACATCACCTTTTGGTATATTCTCCGAGTTCTTGGCAAAATATGCTCAGTCTGGAAAATAATATTATTCCGTCCCGTCATTTGTTCACAAAAGATCCCTGAAACTGCTTTTTCTCCCAAGTAGGAAAATGGCTTGGGGTGGGATATGTGATTCTGAGCAGAAAAAATGGCATCAAAGCAGTTGGTTTACCCCCCAGCTCCTCCTGACAGTATTTCCCACTACTTGTGGCAGTATACAAGTCTGCTTGTCCGGGTTTTTGCAATAAAAAATATTTTTAAAAAACCCAGAGATTACTGATATGGTTCCCAAATCTCCAGCGTGGCTCTGAGTCACAGCACAAAGCACAGACTTCACAATTAGATGCTCCTTAAAAAACATCTATGCCAATGGTTTGACCCAGATTTTTGTCCTGAAGCACATATACAATTGAGCGAATATGTCCTCATTTTCTAAATGAGTCAGGATCTTGAAAGGACTTCATATTTCACATTATTTACTATTCCTACTGAGGCCAAGGAATGAATTGTACTTTAAAGTTAGGTAGGAAAAATCCCATCACCAGACTGGCAAGTAAAGGAGACTTTTTAAAAAAGAAAGAAGCCAAATACCTTATATTACTCATTGTGCTTTTGGGAGGCCATAATTTGGGCCATGAATGATAGACACTTCACCAGAGCAAGAGTCACTTCCTTTATCATGTGGTTTGGTATTAACTTTCTGAGAAAAAAATGAAGTTGCAAGAATTGTGGGGGAAAGGTGAAGCAAGTATTTTGTTAGTTTGTTTGTTTAATTTGTATACCACACTTCATCTGTAGACCTCGGGGCGGTTCACAGCATAAAAATACAAGATAGAAAACACAAAAGACATAATAAAAGCTAGCCCTTGTAACATCTCTGCAGCCTGTAATATATTTATCCAGTGTTCAATCTGGGCAGCCTAAATGCAAGGAATAAGTGGGGTTCTACCTGGTAGCGGGACGCGGGTGGCACTGTGGGTTAAACCACAGAGCCTAGGACTTGCCAATCAGAAGGTCAGCGGTTCAAATCCCCGCGATGGGATGAGCTCCCGTTGCTCGGTCCCTGCTCCTGCCCAGCTAGCATTTCGAAAGCACGTCAAAGTGCAAGTAGATAAATAGGTACCCCTCTGGTGGGAAGGTAAACGGCATTTCCGTGCGCTGCTCTGGTTTGCCAGAAGTGTCTTAGTCATGCTGGCCACATGACACGGAAGCTGTACGCTGGCTCCCTCAGCCAGTAAAGTGAGATGAGCGCCGCAACCCCAGAGTCGGTCACGACTGAACCTAATGGTCAGGGGTCCCTTTACCTTTACCTTACCTTCTTGGCAGCAGTGTCCCTGCCACTTACTCTAGGGTGGGGCTCTGTAGGTGCCCATTGCTTTTGACTTTACACCTCACAGCCCCAAACTCACTGCCTTAGAAAGCAGCAGAGACCATTGCGTTGACAGGGCAAGTCTGTGTCAGCTGCTTCCTTTTCTACAGAAAGAGAAATAGCTGGGATTTGCATGTTCATAACTGAACCTGGCTTCTATTCCATTGTAACGCAAACGGTAGCAGTTTGAGTGTATGTGTTTCCACTCAGTGTGAGCTTTTGTGTAGTTAAATCGCACAGAGCTCCCTGTTTGTAGCAACATAAACCAAGCTGCAGGGCTCTGCCACTTAAACACCTTTTATGGTTAATGAACAGGAGAACCCTCATCTCGTTTACTTTATTAAGGAATTTATTGGCTTCCCCTACATTAAGCTTTACTAGCACGATTACACTGTGTTGACACAAGACTTTCAAAGTTCAAAAGATATCTTCCTGCACGGACATACAATTGCACTTGTTCAAAAGGAGCTGTAAGGATTGACTTCCTAAACAAAACCGAGGTCTGTTAGGCCTCCATTGCTCCCATTGTCATCAGGCCAGGAAAGCATGAAGCGAAAAGGAGGGATGGATCAGGCAGCCATAGACTAGAGGGGTTGATGGAGATCATTGTGGTCTGCAGGGATACACTTGGGTCCAGAGCTATTGGCACAAGTTAGTCTTAGAAACCAGGGCCACTCAGCCATGAGGCAAGTTGAGGCAACAGCCTCAGGTGGCAGAATCCACAGGGACAGTGTCAGATGCTGGTGGTGGTTGCTCGTGAGTAGCCAGGCAGGACTCCGACCTGTCTTTTACAGGTTTTATTGTGCAAACTATTTACAGTGCAGATCCACAAAGTTCATGTCCGTCTTAGCCACTTGCAGAATCCGGGAGTGGCCCCTTCCGGTTTCTCCCCCAACACAAGAACTTCGGCACCCCAAGGCTCCTCCTCCCCTCCTTACGTTTCACCCCTCTGCGCAGGCTGGGCGACGGAAGGGGCGTGCGTCCCTCCTGGCCAGCCTGGTGAGGCGCTGGGGCTCTCAGCAGCATCCCCGAGCCCTTTCCTCGCTTGACTGGCCCCTTCCCCCTCTTCTCCACTGGAGGTGTGGCTTTTCCCATCGCTGGAAGAGGATTCGGAGGCTCTCTGTAGCCCAATGGCCCCATGCCTCCCTCCCCTGTTCCAATGGCAGTCCCCTGACAGACAGCAAATCGGCCGCTAAGGAATGCATCTCCTCCTGCCGCAAATGGCAGCAACAGCTTCAGCATGTTCCTTGGAGGCTAGATCTGCCATCTCCTCAGCAGCCCCCTGCCCACGCCGCCTCGGCAGCAGATTCTTGGCAAATAGGAGGTGCAGTTGGTCTCCCACCTATGTTCTCAATGTAGATATTTATCCCTCCCCTTGTTCTGATGTGGATCTTCACCATAGAAGCCAACTCCCAATTTCAACCCCCCCCCCCAAATCGATGGGCATTGCCATTAAATTGGGGAGTGCATGCCCACGTCTTGTGATCAGTTATGTGGGGTGGGGCTTACCTGCCTCCTCACACGCAATATTTTATTCAAGTTGGCACCCCTGATCTCCGCTCACCCCTTTTCTCCTGCCTGGGGGTAGGGGGCACCATTTTGTGGTTTGCCTCAGGTGCCAAAATGTCTTGGACCGGCCTTGTTAGGAGCACAGCATAACTGACTCAATGGTATTTTCAAATCGGCACCCCAGGTATTCTTGGCCAAAAAGCAAGCAAGGCTCGAAGCCTTCAGGAAATGGTCGGATGGAAAATGAGAAATTTATCCAGTTCTCCAGGTGAGGGAAGAAACAGGGAAGCCAGTCAGGTGGTCAAAACAGGAAGAGCCAGACCAAAGGGGGGGGGGGACACAAGAAACAGCCGCCCAACTGCACTCACATCCATGCAAAACCTGCCTGGATTTCCCAGGTGACTTGCTCAGCAACGAGCCAGACTTCCAACTGGCCACAAACAACAACTAGGACTGAGGCACTGGAACAAACAGGGCCAGAAAAGTTCAGCCCAGGGGTCCGATTCTTACAGTTTAGTAGCAGCTTCTTGGCTACTAACGTTGGTAGGCAGGTTGCAACCACAAGCAGTTAGCAAAACAGGGTGTCATTGACCCCTAGTGAGCTGTCATATATGACTAGTAGACTGTTTTGTGTCTTGGGTCATATAGTGTGGACTAGATTTTGTAGGATTTTTATGTGATGAAAAACAAGATGCTTCCTCAGTTAAATAATTAACTTAGGATTTGTTAATGTGTACATATACAGTAGAACCTCGACTTACCACCGCCCCTACCCGCAAACAATTCGACTCAACGACCGTGGCAAACCCAGAAGTAAATACCGGGTTTGCCGCAATTTGCGCACATGCAGAATGGCACTTCTACCAGCGACCCGGATCGACTCACGAACGGACCTCCGGAACGGATTCCGTACCTGGGTAGAGATTCCACTGTACACTAATAATTGTATATAGTGATGATGATGATGATGATGATGATGATGATGATGTGTGTAGAAATATATATAAATCTAATCATTTTTTCCCTTCTTGTTAGGTTGACTTTGAACAACTTCGGGACAACTTATGTCAGATGGAGAAACGGTGCAAAGCATCATGGGATCACCTGAAGGCCATAGCAAAGCATGAAATGAAGCCAACTCTAAAGCAAAAGATGTCTGAGTTCCTTAAAGACTGTGCAGAAAGAATAATAATTTTAAAAATTGTCCACAGAAGAATAATTAACAGGTAGAGTACCAGGGAATAATATGGATGATGTACCATTGAGATGTCTCATAAAAAATGATGATATTCTAAGTTGTCTGGGCAAATCTGCTGAGTACTAGCGAGTTTTTAGCAAAGCTGGGGTGAAGTCATCACAGAGAGAGGCTCATAATTGAGCCTGAGAGAGTCAGCTTGATTTACCCCTGCTTTGTGCCTAAGAAGATCCTGTTGCATTCCCAATGACAATTTCAGAAGTGCAGCAGAATCTACTTCCTCTTGACCCCCAATGAGCCTCCAAACTCCTCCAATGAGCTCGACCCACTAGTATAAACAATAAATAAAACATCAAATAGTACAAAATCAAATTGAACAATTTCCACATAAATCATAAGAATATCTAAAATAGAGATACAAAAATTGTATCAACAGGAGCTACCAAAAATCCCCAACCGAAACCCAACATGGTACTCCAGTCCAAGAGTCTGTTCAACAGCCACAGCTTTTGTAGCTGGAGTCAGTCCTGGCCCCTCCTTCCCAAACCAGGTGGGGAAAAGGCCTGCACGGCAGGGAGCAGGTCTTCCAGGACTCACGGCCTAGATAGTCTCTGGCCTCTTCAGCAACTTCAGCTTTTGTAGCTGGAATCAGTCACAGCCCACCCTCCCAGACCTGGTGGGGAAAGGGTCTGCAAGGAAGGCTGGGAGCAGGTCTTGCAAGAGTTACAGCCAGGATAAATTCATAATTCAAAAGCAGATTATCCACTGCATGCTCCTCTGACCTGCTCTGTCCTATAAACAAAGGCATTTCACCTAGATCATGCCATATTCCCTAAAACACCACCGCTTGCAATAATCCCTGGAGGGCTGAGGGGCTTTTTCTTACTTATTGGACGAAAGCTACAGATCACTCAATTCTGTTTTTCTAGGTTCCACTCCTTCTTGTTATTTATGGGATACCCGCCTTACGCAATCCGCGAAGTCAACATCAATAAGTTCTGCAAAATTATTAGTGAGTTTGCCCTGGAGTATCGCACCACGAGGGAGCGAGTTTTGCAACAGAAGCAGAAACGAGCCAACCACAGAGAAAGAAACAAAACCAGAGGGAAAATGATCACGGATGTAAGTGGTGAAGTAAAATCTCATTCAGCAAAAGTACGTAGAGTTTTGTTGCCGGCAAATGACATACTATAAGATCCATTATCCAAACTGCTCTCTCTCTCTCATTTCTTCTTCTTCAAGGAACTCTTCTATGAAAGTAGAAGGTTGTGCTGCATAACTCATCCTCGCCAAGCAGCAAAACCTAAAGGAGCTCCTTTAGCCTACTCCTCTTCCAGAATTAGGGTACCATGATCATACATGGACCCACATAATCAGTACCCAGGCATATGTCATCTCATGGCTGCATCCAGCAGTAAGATCAGGCATGAGCCACAGGATCACACGCCCTCTTACCGGCAGCCCCTGACCTCAGGGGCATACGAGGGGGGGAGGGGGGACGCCCTGGGCACTGCCCTGGGGGTGTGTGACAAGATGGCCCACTGCCTCCCCCCAGCTGTAGAGCGGTGGAGGGCGCACATGCAGTCAGTGTGGGCGCCACTCGCGCCGCGTCCGTACGGGCTGCCACGCCTGTGCAGTCCGCACTGGCTGCCACTCACGCACGGCGTCCATATGGGTGTCTGTACGGGCTGCCACTCACACACAGCGACTGTATGGGCTGCCGCACATGTGCAGTATGTACGGACGCCACGCATGCATCATCGGGCGGTTCTCCCCGCGCCTCAGCGTCCTGCCTCGGGTGATGGAGAGGGTTCCTCTGGCACTGCCCACAAATGCTGCTTCCCTTACTGGTCTTAGCCATGTTTAGACTGATACCAGTGACATTAACTACTGTTATTGTTGGTGCTGATGTAACTGGCACAAGCCAGCAAGGGGAATTGGAGCAGGGAAGGGAAGGGGAGATGCTGGCAAGGCAGGAATCACATTGAGTCGCAGACGCTCCCAGTTTCTTAACAACAAATACAGTGGTACCTTGGGTTACATACACTTCAGGTTACAGATGCTTCAGGTTACAGACTCCACTAACCCAGAAATAGTATCTCGGGTTAAGAAGGATGAGAACATAAATTGTGCTCCGGCGGCATGGCAGCAGCGGCAGGTCCCATTATCTAAAGTGCTGCTTCAGGTTAGGAACAGTTTCAGGTTAAGAACAGTCCTCCAGAACAAATTAAGTACTTAACCTGAGGTACCACTGTATCAGGCTGTATCAGGAATAGGAAGGTATTCACACGTACGGTGGCACTTCTGTGGTGGAGAACAGAAAGTGTCCACCTACACATGGACTGGATTATGGTGCCAGGCAATGGCCATTCAATCTTATATATTCTCTTTCAGTGGAATTCTATTTCCCAAGAACCTAAGTCAGCCAGAGCTGCACTTCCTCAAACTTGACAACACTAACCTCTCTCCTTCAATGTCATAAAACACTAGCTAACCACTCGTTAAAGGGTGGTTTCTGATGACTACTTATTATGTCATCTGATAGGAAGTGCCTACAGAGGGTGGTAAATACAGCACAAGATATTATGGGCTGTCCCGTGAATCCGCTGGATGAAATAGCGGAAGAAAGTTGCCTCAGGAGAGTGAGGAAAAATCTCAGGGATGATTCACACCCTGGCCGGCACTTTCTTGATCTCCTGCCCTCAGGCAGAAGACATAGAAGCATGATTAGTCGCACCAACAGGGTAAAGAACAGCTTCTATCTGTGGGCTGTTAGGCTGCTGAATGAAAAGATAACAACAGGGCAACTGACTTTCGGGTTTGGTGGGTGTGCGTCAGGGGAATTAAGACTAAGAGAGCTGAGTGTAATCTCACTGTATACAAGTTGTACAAGTGACAATAAAGTATTTCAATTTCAACTATATTTACTGATAACCATAAATGCTATTTAAATGTAATTGGGGGGGGGGGAACTGTGCTGGCACCAACCAAACGTTAAGTAGCAGAAGTACAATATTTTGGGGAGGTTGCTTGCACTCAGTGGTACACGAGGTTCACCTCTGAATCAGAATCTGACGTAGGATGGGGAGGCTGGAGGGACATATTTTAAATAACTGACCTCTTATTTCATTTTTATAAACACTACAATTCTGATTTTTCAGTTTTAATGATTAAAAATAGGTCTGTGCGTTTAGCTTTAGAGTTTTAAGGTTGAAATTAAAAAAAAATTCTATGGGATGCAAGTTCTAATCTGAATTATTAATTTGAGATTGGAATAGATGTTACCTAATAAGGATTGCTAATTGGGCTGCAGGGAAAGGGATGCACAGCCTACTTTTATAAAAAATAAGATTACTTTTTCTCTGTCAAGTGACCTTTAAAAATCCCCTAGGACTTTTAAATCTTCTTTTAAGTTGATGCGGTTTTATTCAGTCCAAAAAAAGTTTAAAGAAGTGCCAGTACTTAATAAAAGTTTCCAGCTGTCTTCAAAATCCAACTCTGGAGTCTCCATTAGATGTGAATGTTTTGTTGCATATGGAGCTACCTCTATCTGGGCTTTGGCATGGGCAGCGCTGCTCTGATTAGCAGCGTGGCCAAAATCTCGGGCAAGCTCAGTAAAAGAATACAATTAAAAAAAAAAACCACCACTCCAGTATTGTGGATCCAAATGGGCATGGGTTTAAATCACTGCCTCCCTATCATTTGTAGATCTTTCCTGGCAGTGATCTCTCAGACACTGGAAATTTGACTCATATTGAATAACTTTCAAACTGTATTGTTATTACACAAGGATTGTTTTCTTTTAAATCTGGCACCCCATTAAGAAAGTGGACATTCCTCCCCCCCCCCAAAAAAAATAATATTATATACTTTTGGCAAAGCATAGCACTGCACATATTTTAAGTGCAAGGCAGGGGTCAGTGGACAGTCTGTTGCGTGACCAGGCGGCGACAGCCCCAGCCTCCGGGGATCATAAGGAAGGAATAAAGACTCTGACAACGTATATGGAATTAAAATTAGGCCACAACTTTATTACACTTCCAAAAGTAGGAAGACCTTGGCTTAGGCCTTGGGCGTGTACCCCTCCCAGCCCCCCAATCGAGGGGAACTGGGGCTCATCAGGGTAAATGAGATATGGGGATGCTCTGCGAGACGTAAGTGTAGCAGGCAGCCCAGCCCATATCCCCGCACGCAGGGTTGCTCACTGACAACCTTTCAGTATATGGCCACTGACACCCATATATAACCCCTTTAAGAGGGGGACCCTGGAATTGCCACCGCAGGGGGGTGAGTCACCACTTAAAGCCCCCCCCCAATAGATAAGAAAAGACTAAAGGATTCCATCCAAGGCCATAACCACCCAAGTTGTGATGAATTGCTACGGGGAAGACAAAAACCTGCCAATGTAGGAAAATTTCTTCCCTGTCCTTCAACAGCAACTAGTCAATAACCGCAGCAGCACCAGCTAAACAGGAAGAAAAAGTTAACCTGCAAACTAGAAACATTAAACAAAGGGAGGGTAGGGAGGGTGAATTCTTCAGAGCCGACTGCCTGGTTATCGTCGGCTCCACCCCCTATTTATAAATGGGGCTGGCCCCACCTCCCAGCAATAAACCTGATTACTGAAGCTGGGCATGAAGCTCCAAATAATAGCACTGAGAGGCAAGCCAGCCCCTGTTTGCCCTTAAGCTCCCTGGGAACTGTAGCACCATGTGCAATCCCGCAAAGGGCACCCACAGTGTAAAGTGTGAGTGCTCATTATCTTCAGAACCTTCTGCATTCATGAGACATGCTTACTCATAATCTCTTTCTTTATACATTTTATATATGTATTATAGATGTGTGTGTGTGCGCGCACATAAATATGCAAGTATGTATGTATCATATAGTGCCGTAACGGCTCCATCAGCAGAGGATATTGGTTCATGCTTTGAACAAACGGCAATTGGCTTTTCCACGGATTGCCATTTGTTCCGATTTAGCGCTAAAGAGCGAGTTTTCCAGGGGAAAGTGGCGAGGCAAAGGCAAAACTACTCTGCCTAGTGGAAACCCAAGGACAGGTTTATTGAGGGGAAAGCAGAGCATGAAATCAGGCAAGGCGGAAAATGAATGGGAAGCATCTTGTTAGATCCCTTAATTACTGTTACGACTTTAAGTATTATTGGCTAGTAGAAAAGAGTCCCAGGGGAAAATACAGTGGTGCCTCGCAAGACGAAATTAATTCGTTGCGCGAGTTTTTTCGTCTTGCGATTTTTTTCGTCTTGCGAAGCACGGTGTCGGAAAAGTTTTGGAAAAGCTTCAAAAATCACCAAAGTCTTCAAAAACCTCAAAAAAGGCTACCACACCACGTTCTATGAGTTGCTCCTCGAAGTCAAGTCGCAACTGTATTAACGGTGTCAAGAAAAAGGAAACAAACTTGCAAGACGTTTCCGTCTTGCGAAGCAACTCAAAAAACCAAAAAACCTTTCGTCTTGTGAGTTTTCCGTCTTGCGAGGCATTCGTCTTGCGAGGTACCACTGTATTCTGTTTCAAGGAGATAGTCTTTTAGCCTTAATAAAATAAGCAAGCTGGTGGAATTATCTCATGTGTGGGATGTAAAGGTGCAGTCAACATTCGGACAGAGGCCTCCATGTTCTAACTGGATGCTGTGACAACCAGTTTGTCGTTTGCTGGTAGTTTTGAAAGATAACTGCTCAGTTTCAGTCACCTCAGGACCAACTTCCCTCTGGTATAGTTTGTTTGCTTGTTATGTAACCTAAGCCTGCCTTCAGGTACAGTTCTGTAAACCTGAAGGAATCTGAGAGTGAAATAGTTTATATTAACATGAATCAGATTTGTGTGTGTATTCTTTAAGAGGTATTCAAAGGGATTTTTAACCAGGAAGGAATCTTTATTAGTAGAACTCAGTCAAGTCAGCAACTAACTGATCACTGCATAAACTTATAAAGGAGATTGTTTAACTCTGCCAAAGTAAACCTTCCCACATCATGGACAAATACAGTGGTACCTCAGTTTTAAAAAAGCCCTGTTTGCAAACTATTCGGTTTACGAACTCCGCAAAACCGGAGGTAGTGTCCGGCCTCATTAGGGAAAGCGTGCCTCAGTTTAAGAACAGCTTCGGTTTAAGAATGGACTTCCGGAACAGATTAAGTTTA